TTATGTGGACYTTGCAATGTGTACCCACACAGAAACAGAGAAGCTCCTCAGCAGCCCGATTTTCAAAGAGGGCACAGTAGCACTCTCTGAAAATCAAGCCTCTCAAAAATTGAAATACTCAAAATTATTTGCTACTTGCAAACCAAACTGACCTGTGTTTGCCTTGGGTTTGGTTGGGATGAGCTGYTTGGTAAGTGAGCTAAAAATGTTCATGTAAATATTGCCCATCTTACAAAATAATATTAAAAATTACACAAACATAATTTTCAAGAAGAAAATGTCTTGTTTGCCTGTATGTTTTAAACTATTAAGTGCTGGAAATAGGAATTGTTCAGAAGAGAGACTGAACAAGACCTTGGCTGGACTGGACCTTCTAAATGTCACCCATGGGTAAAGAGTGAGGATGTTTAAAATAACACTATTTACTGTTATATCTGAGTGCTGAAAGGGAACAATACCTGGCAAAGAATATCAGCCAGTTTGATGGGATGCAATGGTCTGCTGCAGCCCCTAACACAGTGGCTACTGTAACAGGTCTGTGATTTTTCATTTCACAGTGCACAGTGTCACTTCCACTGATGAYGATTGGGAATTTGCAACTGCCCACTGAATGGTTCCCTATGCCTAGTACATCTCAGGAAATAGATGAAGGGGAACTGAATAACTGTAAGTACATGGGATACAACCAAGACAACAAATTAAAGGAAGAATAAATGCATGCAGAGGAAGATACTAGTGCTATGGCCATCAGTATTGCAGTATGAGCCACAGAAAACAATGTAAAATCTGATAGTGAGTTTGGAAGGCTTGGGTTTCGTTCCCTACAGGTGGCTTCAGTTTCTCTTGTAAGCAGGAATCCAACTGGGAAGATGCAGTACCAAAGTCCACAGCCCAATGCAATTCCTGAGATTCTTTCCATTTACTCTGAGATCTGTCCACTGGTTTGTTTTATCTATCATGCAGAATGGAAACACAACTCTTTTAGGCCTTCTCGGCCGAGAGAGCATTGGAAAGTTACTTAAGTTACTTTGTTTATCTGACTGTGTCTGCCCTACAAAGAGTGGAAGCCTTTCTGTTGCTGTTACAACTCCATTTCACGTTCTTWCTCTTATTACAAGAAGAAACAAATATGAGCTAAAAGATACAGTGAGACCTATTGCTACATTTTCAGTGGTGACTGAGTTTGATTTGTCACAAGTCCAGCCTGAACAGCCAAATGAATCTCATGGCTATATAAAAAAGGTGGAAGCTCTATAGCTCAGCTTTGTGGGATCAAGATTAATGAATAGAAAAATTAAGAAAGGATTGTTGAAAGCAGCTGCACTGAGAGCCAGCGCTCACATACCTTCACGGATCAAAATAAAGTAGGGAAGTGGAAAACCAAGCTTAAATTCAATCTAGTAGAGATTTGCAAGCAKAAAATCTGAAAATCTGAAGAAAGAAAGGTTTTTCTGTTTTGGATGGTACTGCTCTTGGTACTGTTTTTAAACCTAACTGGTATTTAGAAGATYGGTTATCCAAATGTCATAGGGCACAACAGCTCTGTCAGAATAACTGAGTGAATTTGCATTACAATTAGGTGTTGGGAAGCAATGCCTTTGCAAAGCATTTTAATTGAGGTTCAAGTGATCAAAGATGAGTTGTAATGGACATAGATTTTTATATTTTTATGACTTCACTTTTTCTTTCCTAACTACATACCAGATGATGGAAAATTCCAGCCTATAAAGGAGAAAAATGTTTCCAGTCTTTGTGGTCTCACAGACACAGAGCAAATTGAAAGAACCTATTACATTTCTGTAAGTACATCATTCCAAGCCAGCTTTGTGATTTTCAGGACCAGTTGCATGAGTTTTAAAGTTCATAGGAGTTAATTAGCCCYGTCTCCCTCCTTTGCTTTACTGTGCTTTAAAAAGCCAGAGAAATAGTACAGTTTCCCAGTGTAGGTTAGTTCCTCCCCTTGTTTGATACTCAGTTACTACTTAAGCCCCTAGTTCATACTACCTTTGGCTTTTTGTTTATCCTTTTTCATCATTGTGTTTCTTTGAAAAGGAATTTTATGACCACATCATGGCACAGAAAGATTTTTTTTTTCAAGTTGATCTTTATTTTCAGCAGTTACCTTACAACCTGCACTTGCTGCTGCACCTGAAGGTTGTCTACATCCCTTCCTAACACTCTCCTGTTGATTCAACCCTTCTCTTTGTCCCTGCTTTTTGCTGGCTTCAGTCTTCCTCTGCTTCCTAGAGCTGCACAGCTCTCTGCAGACAAAAAGCAGAATGCCCATATTGCTCTGGTGACCACATTAGCCCCTGGGGCTATGGAACAGTGTTCTGCAACTCTCTCTAATTATGATGTGGCCAGTGGTTACACCAAYACATGGCCTGAGCTGGTCTGGCCTATTTTGCTTTTATTATTATTACTGTTGTTGTTTTGATCACTCTGTCAGGAGTCAGCAGCCATCAGACTGGCTCACGTATGCTCTGCTGCCCTCCAAAGGATGGGAGCACTGCACTCCTGTTCCTTTGCCTTCTTGAGATGCTTCCAGCCACATCCCATAAGAGCATTTTCTGTAGTGCTCTGTGTGAGTCTGGAAACAGAACACCTGTGATAGACKTGAAAAGAGACTCCTATCAGATATTTCTGAAGCTGTCGCCAMCAAGAATGTTACCCATGAAATGTTGCCATGGTTTGCTACGAGGCTGTTCCACCCATCAAATCCCTCTGCATTGGTGTGATTTTATTCATTAATCCAACATGTGCTGGCAACCAGTCAGTGCCTGGCACAGCATCCAGAACCCAGCACACTCCCCATCACTTTGCAAGGTTTGTCTGGTGCTGCCAAAGTGAGCACGGGAGGCCACGCTCCAGCACATCCTGGTACCCACCTTCCCACCAGGGGATGCTCAGACATGGCCCCACGATGTGTCCAGAGCCAGCACAGATTGCAGGGTTTCCTTGSYWTGGGACTGGAGCACAAWCTGATAAGCAGCAGCTGAGGKAGCAGGGCTGTTTAGCCTGGAGCAYGYTCAGGTGTGACCTTTTCACCTTCTGTAACTCCRTKACAGGAGGGTGCAGCCAGGGGGTGGCCAGGCTCTGCTCCAGGCAAGTGACAGAATGAGAGGACATAGTCTTAAGCTGTGCCAGGGGTGGTTTAGGTTGGGTATTRGCAAAAMTTTCTTCACAGAAAGTGTGACTAGRTAGTGGAAGGRACTGCCCAGGGAARTGATGGAGTCACCTGAAGGAAAGCCTGGAAAKGGCACTTGGTGCCATGGTCTAGTTAACATGGTGTTGTTCAGTGTTGGACCCGATGATCTCAAAGGTCCTTTCCAACCTAACTGATTCTGTGATTCCASCCTAAGTGATTCTGTGACTTGTGTGCAGGGGGGAAAAAAACACAATTAAACCCCACTTCAGCTGTCAGGTCACCAAGGGAAACAAGGCTGGCAACGAGAAGTGTCAGCGCCCTGCGGGGCAGGAGCGGCCGTGAGACGCTTCGCAATCACAGAGCACTCAGTAACTTGTCCTCCATGCTGGCGGGAGGCCTCAGGACCCCTTGCAGAAGGGAAAAAAGCAGAAAGGAGCGGCGGRCGAAGGGCAGCGCGGCGCAGGGGAGGAGCCGCGCTCTGAGGGGCCGCGGGCACGGGGGCACCCGGGGGCGCCCCCAAGGGCGCAGCTGGCGGGCGGGGCCGCGGCCGTTGCGCTCCGCGCAGTCCGTCAGTCACATGAGCCGCCGCCCTCCTTCCCCCGCACCCCCTCGGCCGCGAATGGCACGGCCCGGATGCGCTTGTACGCAAGGAGGGTGCGGGCGAACCATTGAGCGGGGGCGGGGGAACCCGGCAGCCGCCGGCCGGGAACACCCCTTCGCCGGGGCGCTGCGGCGGCGGGGAGCGGACGTGACAGCGGCGCGGCCGGCGGCGGAGGGCGATGGGGGTCCCGCGGGGACAGGAGCGCCAGGCCCCGCAGGAGGTACCGGAGCCGCGTCTCTCCCAGCCCCCCGTTCCCCGGGCGCTGCCGAGGCGCGGCCGCTGTTCCTCCGGCCCCGCTGCACCGGCGTCCCCGGGATCTCCGCCTGCTCCTTGCCCTCCTTCCCGGCCCTCGCCGGGAGCGCGGGGTCGGTGCCGCGCAGCGGGCTGGGCGCGGGGGGCGCGGGGAGGCCTGTGGGGCTGCCGGCAGCGCTGTGCGGGTCACCTTCGGTGCACCATCGCCTGCCCGTGTCCCATCTGCGAGCCGCACTCGTCGGGTTCCCGTGGGAGGGAGAGGAAAGGAGGAGAGTGCCCAAAGGATCGGAGGTGGGGAGGGTGTGCAGGTGGGTCCCTGCAGCMCCCAGGGAGACCTGGAGCCCTTTTACCGTCTCTCCGGCCTAGGGCCGAGGTGTTTGGGAGCTCTGTGCCTCTAGGAAATCATGTATGTTCTGATTGTGGGGTTGAGTCCTGTAAGGTGGGGACAAAAGCTCTGGGATGGGCTGGCTGTGCTGGTGAGGCTTCGGAGCACCGAGGCTGTCCGGGCTGCCAGTCACAGTTTACTTTTGTTACTGCTGTGCTTTTGAAAAGGCATTGCTCAAAAAAGTGGAATTCCATGTGAATGTCTTCTCCTGCTTTTGTAGAAGGATTATAGAAGCGTGTCCTGGTTTCGGCTGGGATAGAGGTTAAATTGAGGCGTGTGATTTTATGAACCCTRAAATTGAAAGAAATGTGCGAAATGGAGAATAAATTAACTGGCTTATGGCAATAGGACCRTCTCACTAGCTGGAGGCAAGCAGTTGACCAGGAGTTTGAACACCAAAAGCAGATTAAAGTATTTAACTGGGTGAAAATATGTGATGCTAAATCCATGTTAGAATGTGTTACCTGTTTCTTTAAGGTCTTTCAAATTAACAGGCAAATTGCTAATGGAAGGCAGGTTTTCCCTGATATGTGGTCTGTGCTAAGAYTAGGTTTGGCAAGTGTTTGTTCCTCAAATGAATGAGAAATGCTGAATTAGTGTTGTTTGTTTGTCAGGTTGAAACGAGAGAAGATGAGGAACAAAACATCAAGCTGACTGAAATTTTGGAACTATTGGTGGCTGCTGGGTATTTTCGAGCAAGAATCAAGGGGTTATCACCCTTTGACAAGGTGAGGCCAGTACAATACTTTTAAACCCCTTTTTTTAAGTATACAAGGCTTATATGTTTTGCCACTTTGTTTAGCAATTCCAGGTGACTTTATAAAAGACATTTGCAACCTATGAGGCTTCCCTGTATGAATAATTCTGTAAATGACCTAATTTTAGACATACAGGGCCTCCTCAGTCATGCAATTTTGTGCAGCAAGGCCTGTTTCARAGGAGACAATTGGATGAAAGCTAACTGCTGTCTCCTTTTCTTTGGTGGGTGTTATGGCCTGTCTTAGAGTTGTGCACAAGGAATTTTCCTYTCTCAACAGCAGTAAGAATAGCTAGAAAGACTGGATACGTGGAGATAATATGGTAATTTTGAAAACAACATTGATGAGAAATGAGGAAGTGTCTGTGTACGAATGGACTAGTTAGCCTGGTGAGATTATTTTGGGGCTGTTTTTACGTATCTTTAGAATGTCATATTTGTTAACCTTTCATTGTCCTAGGCAGGAAGTGTGTGATGCTGACAGTGAGCAAAGTTCAGGTTGAAGAGAGATTTCTGAATTGTTTTAGTGCTGACTCTGTGAGAAATTCTTGAACTGAGGTTTGAAAACACAGAGCTACAGCAGCCTTGAAATGGAATCTTCTGTTTTTTGCTCTCTCTTTGATCATAGCACAGCCTTGCTTTGCAATTCAATTTTATTCAAACTCCTTGGTATTGCTAACAGTAGCTGCTCAGGAGTCTGGGCTCGCAGACAGAGCCGTTTCAAGGAGACTGCCTTAGGATGTAACATTGTTGCATTTATTTGTAGAAATCACTTATACTTACTAAAATACAATTGCAAAGTTACCATTTAATGACAATGCCCAACCTCACTGAAAAGAGCATTGCTAGTGAAAATTATCATGCTGCTAATGCAAAAAGGATATGTAGGTTATCACTTACAGGAGCGTGAGGGGGTGATGTGTTAGAAACCTTGTAAGAAGCCAAAGTTCCTAATTTGCTGCACGCTGTTGGCAAGTTGCTCCACATTTTAATCCCTTTCTCTGTTTTTTTGCCTTTGCCTACATTTAGGTTATCTTCCACATGTTTATGCAAGAATGTCTTTAAATATTTATGTAAAGTTGATGAAATGGCTTGGGAGTTTAAATATGCCTAAGTAYGTGTCAAAATAGGGCCTGAAATAGAGATTTCTGCAGAGCTGGGGWTTTCCGTTGCTGTGCTGATATAGTCTAGCACTTTGTGTTGCATGCATCAGCAAGCAAGAAGTAATAGTAGTAAATATGTATACACAAAGGCAAATATATGAATGCAGTAATTATGATCCTAGATAACATTTTGATATAGTCACTTTTTAGAGGTCATGACTTTTAACATATTGTTGTGTTTTATCTATTGCTTTTTTTGGTTTTGGGTTTTGTTTTTTTTTTTCCTTTTTTAATCTGAGAGCTGTTTCAAAGCTAATATATAAAACTAAGGAATTTAGAACTCCTGGGTTGGTTTCTGTCTTCTTGTACATGTGTGTTGTATTCAGAATTGTATGATTGTGCTATCTATTTCAATCTGTTTTAGAGCAGAGAGGACACTGAGGATGGAGAGATTATTGAGATGTAGTTTCTAAAAGAAATAAAGCCTCGAAGATGCATTTGGGTTTACCTCTTTAGTTTAAAATGGCCCTGATTGTGCTTCTGCTCCTTTGCCAGGTGGTGGGAGGCATGACGTGGTGTATCACTACCTGCAGCTTTGATATCGACGTGGATTTATTATTTCAGGAAAACTCTACTATTGGTCAAAAAATGTAAGTTGATTAAATAGCAAGGGGGGGATTTTTCTTCTTCTTAGAAAATAAAAAGTGAGTGGGGAAGTTTCCTGCTATTTTTCTGCTTCTAAGAAAGAGTTTTAGTTCAAGTTTCCTGYTTTTCAGGACCGCCTGTTTACAAAATATTGCACAGTCTTCTGGGTTTCTCAGACTGTAGTTCCACAAACTCCAAAACCAGAAAAAAGCCTATTTCAAAAATGGCAGGGCTATTCCCACTAGGCTGCCATGTTCTTATATCCTGCTAAACACTGAAAGCATTTATGTGGCTCCACACTGAACTGAATTGGGAACTGATCCAGATTAAAACGTACCCAAAAATACCCCCAAAAAAMCCAAAAGAAAACAAAAAAGAGAATAGTTTTAACATGAATGAATTCCTGGATCCAGTTCTCTGCACAGCTGCACAGATGCTTGTGCTGGCACAAGGGGATGATGCAGAGGCCAAAGCAAAGGGCAGGGGGAGACCACGCTGCTGGARCTGGAGCACAATATTGGAAGACCTTCCCTGAGTTCCCTGTGTCTGCAGTTCTGCTGTGTAAATAACCTCTGACTCCATTTTATGGTTCTGGGTTGGAATTGTAAGCATCAGCAAACAGAATTTAAAGCATGTCACTGTTGCCAAAATAGTTACCTGCCCCATACTGAGGAGGAGGATTTCCTTCCTCAGAGTAACCCAATGAGAACATTTTGATTCATTTCTAATGCCTGGAATTTKCTCATAAGCCAGCTAATTCCTGTAGTAGGGAGGTTATAAACATTGTTTATGCTGGGAAAGGGAACACATTCTAAACTCCATTATTTCTTTATGTGTATCAGTGATAAAAGAGCCATAATAAAATTTTGCAGGAAATAAGATAGGCCTGACAAGTTACAGTGGCATGAAGAGGCTTGTTACTCAGTGCRACTAAAAAGATCATCTTTCTGTCTTGTTTTCATGAAAGTAATAGAGCATTGGCAAGGTTTTTAACAATAAATATTTGTAGGTATTGCAATTGCATTTGGGCACACTCAAATCATGATAGGTAACTAACTATATAAAACATTGCTGAGGGCAAAGAATTAAGTAGAGACTAGGAGTGAAGATGAATGAAGACGGTGGTGGYAGTTTTTTATCTTTGTTATCCTTAAGAACAGGGTAGGAAATAGTTAAGTTGTTCCCAAAACGTTCTGTTATTTTTTCCAGCTGAGTGGATGCAAAASTGGCAAAACAAAAACCAGGCTCCTCTCTGAAAAGAGCAACAATGATTTATTTGTAAATCTAAAGTGTTCAGAATCACATGAACATGGGYTGTTTTGATGTCCGTGTAATGTTTGTCTTGGTAGAGGCTCAGGGCTTCTGTGATGTTCTCAAGATAAGGAGAAGTTAAACTGTGTTTTCTCAGTATTATTCCAAARGCATTGTAAGGGTGTCCTGTTATTTAATGGCTGAGCAGAAATAAACACGAGGAGAGGATCTTGCATCTATTGAATAAATAGTTTTTGTTTTAATTGCATTTGCTTTGATTGTGTTTCACTTGCCTTTAGGAAGAGTAAAGTTTCAGGCTCTATAGCCAAATTTTGGTCACTGTTTCATGTCTCTTGATCCTCTTTTGTTCTTCCAGGATATTAGTTGTCCATTTGGACAGTTCTAAATATCATGGAGGTCAGTACTGACCAGTTAATTGTTTTTACTTCATGGGGAAATATCTTTGGTTTTCCTAGTAAAGTTTTCATCTGCAGTGGTGACACCTGCTTTAAAAGTGTACTTGACAACATTGACAGCAAAAAAAATTCTTGCCTTAAAATTAAGTATTCAGTGGAAACAGGATGAATTTCTTGCAAATAGATCCCTTGTGGCAGGGTAATCCTTTCACTTAACCAGCTCTTACTGAGCTCTAGAATGAGATTGCTGCCAGCAAATTCAATGTTAGTCACTTGAAAAGTATGCGAAGTGTATTGTGTATTTAGCATTTCGGTGCAGTATGTACTTAAATTAATAAAGTTTCAGGAGTAACTTCAAGATATATTTTGGGAGTTCTGCTAAATAAATTTTAAAGTCCTTACATTTGATTCCAGACTTTCTTGGAGCATGTATCGCTTACTTAATGCAACTGTTCTTAGTTTGTTTGCAAAAATAAATTGTCATTTGCAAAAGAAAATTGTTGCAAAAAATACATCTTTTGTTTTGTTCTTTTATATAGTGCCTTAACTGAAAAAATCGTGTCAGTATTACCAAAAATGAAGTGTCCTCATCGTTTGGAACCACATCAGATCCAGGGACTGGATTTCATTCATATATTTCCTGTTGTACAGGTAATAATTTYATGGTGTGTTGATACTTTGCTGAAAAAGTCCATAAAACCTGCATAAAAAATTTAACAAAGCTTTGAATTATTTTTTGGCTCTTTATTTAACTTTGGAATAAATAGTCACAGAGATGTAGCTTAATGTTTTTAAAGAATGGAGTGACATCRTGGATGATAGAATTTTTAAGTGTTGTTTGATCCACATTTAGAAAGTTAACAAAACGAACACTAAATTCTTTGAAATGGAATCAGATTGTGCCTGTTGTGGAATGCCTCCTTAAAGAAACCAAAGWTTAATCTTATTGTGGAATTTGATAGTGTACTTTGCCAGACTAGGAAATAGAACAAATACCTTACAGTCTGTGTTTAAGCTTATGGAGTAAATTATGCAGATGGACCTTGAGTCAGAAGGATATGAGTAAGGCAAAAGCCACTGGGGTCATTTCTCTAAGCATAATTCATCCTTATTTCATATAACTTAAAAACTGCTCTGAGAAGTGATGTCTTACTGTGTGTTTGTTGAGCACTGCTAAATCACCATGTGCATAGTTCTCAAGTTTATTGAGATTTAAGCTAACACTTGATGTGTTCCAGTTACCTATGGTATTTTGAGAATCCTTGGCATGTTGTTATCATTTTTTTATTTTCCTTTCATCCACACACAGAAGCATATCTTTGACAGATAGAGAAAATTAAGACTGTTGAGCAAGCTTCTTTTCCATTAAATATCTCCTTACCTTAGGAAGTAAGAATTGAATCTAAATTTCAGGGTGTAAAAAGTGTGGAAAAATTCCTGGTGCTCTTTCCTGTTATCTTCTAGTAGGAGGCTGTTGAGGAAAACCACACTTAACTGCACGCCCCACAGAACATTCTGTGGTGTGTGCTACTGCTACACAGCTTTCAAGCTGTGATGATGCTGCCTAAGGTGGAACATTTGTATCTTGCTAATGTGAGTTTTTGTTTATGAACTCTCATTTCCTCCCCAGAAAAAAAATGAAGTTTAACCCAGGTGAGTTTCTTGCCCTGGTCACTTGATGGCAATGAATGGTCACATTTATCTAACACAAGGCTTCTTTCACAGGAAAAATATTCCTCCTGSTGTAAAAACTATAGCACTAGGCATTCTTTGCCCTCACCTGCCTTATCCCAAATCCTAGTTTGGGATTTACCTCTGGAAAGGATAAACATTAGTTCTAAACAGGGAGGAAATCTGCTTTTGTGTTTCTCCAASAGCCAATCCAAGTGATCCTCAGTGTTAGTAGCTGGCCAGTAGGTGGTAGAGCTGACCTGTACTTGGTGATAAAACCTTTTTTGATGGGCCTAATTTTTTGAACGAAGAGGATATTTTTTAAAAAATTTCTGACTTTCCATCAGGTCCCTGTGATTTGTGCMTGTTCCACATACTGCAGGTTCCTCATTTCATCACAACCAAGGCAGACTTTCAAGAAAACTTGTTGGTGTCGCCAGTATACTGTATTCTGAAAAAGACCATGCAAAAGCTAGAAAATCCTGATTACATAGTCCTATGTAGTAATTATGTATTTGATTATGGCATTTTATTCAATGCCGTGTTAAACTCAGGATTCCACTTGTTATCTGTAAATCTCAAACCAGCTTCCAAATAATACAAAAGCTTCCTCTTAAGCCTGGCATTGTGTCCCATTAGCCCTTGCATTGTGCAAGAATTTAGACAGATCCTTCTCTACAGGAAGAAATTAGGCTGAGTTGGCTCATTGCCATAGGGGGTAGCAGAACTTTAAAAAAAAAAATATGACAAATATTCTGTTGGGCAGAAATGTTGTTGTTCTTCCCAGGAAATTCTGCTTATGATCACGGGCAAAAGTATGTACACAGTCTTGTGTTGAGATGTGCTTGGTAATTAATAGTCTGCATTTTCATCTCTTGTTGTCATCATGTTCCCCTCGCTTTCCGGGGGTCCATGATTATAGCACAGGAAACAGTTGCTGGTTCAAACTTGGATCACTCGATTGATCTCATCTCTTCTGTGACCTCCTGCACAGGCTGTCAACAGCCTGCAAGATTTATCTTCTCCAGCATTGTTTAAAATGTACTTCAATATTTTGTGGCTTTTTGTGTGGTCTTATAAATGTCAGAAGTCTTTTTTTCTTGCAMAGGCATGTGGTTGTTCATGAACACTTCATAGTCTGGAAGATATGTCTTTTCATGGTGGAGCTGTAGTTTTTTAACCAGTGAGTGATCTGTAGTAGGAGAATTTCATAGAAGAGACCTGCACAGAAGAAGAAAAAAATGTGAAGTTTATAAAATAGCTAAGGCTGAATAATTTTGTTAGGATTAGGCCCCAGAGTTACCATAAATCACAAATTTTACAAATAAATCACATGCAGTAGTTTGGTATTTGCTGCTGTGATTCTTCCTTTCTCAGCTTATACGATTTTTCCTTTTTTTTTTTTCTTTTTTTTTCAGTGGCTGGTGAAACGTGCGATAGAAACAAGGGAAGAAATGGGAGATTATGTCCGTTCTTACTCTATATCACAGTTTCAAAAAACTCACAGACTTCCAGAGGTAAGATCAAGCCAGTTCTTGGGATAGACAGATTTTATTAGCTTGGGGTGTTTTTGATTCTGATTTAAAAAAAAAAATATTATTTTTAATGCTTAGAAGCTAAAATAACAGTAGAGGAAACTTCCACATCAAGCCTATCCCTGCTTCATTTCTTAATAGTGTAGTAAAGATGGTATTTGTGTCAGGTACTGCCTAAGCAGAGAGCAGAAGGACTCCTGATCTGGAGAGAGTTTTAATGACCTATCTCCCATCTGAAGGCAGAAGCAGGTRCTTTTGTGTGTTACAGCAAAACACTAACATGTCACCGAATAATTGGGCAACTCAGAAACTCTTTGATAGCATTGTTCATAGACTCATTTGAATGTTTGAGATTTAATCTCCATTCCTGGTCTTTTTAATTACCTCCACTTAYGTCTTTCAGGATGATGAATTCATGCAAAGAAAAGAGAAGGCAATCAAAACTGTTACTGATATCTTTGTAAGTATGTTAGATACTTTTTTGTTATGATTGCGTGGTTTTAGTAATGAGATGGAGTAATTCTGTTTTATGCAACCAGTCCTGGGTTTTCTCGTTAGAAGATCCCAATTAAGTTACGTGTTGAAATTCATTCTTAGAACAGGTCTTGAATGCCAATGTATCAGATTGAAAACCTTTCAGGTGTGCATTGTATGAGTAGATAAACTGTATCAATTGCCTGYACAGAGTGTGTGGAAATCCACACTATCAAACAAAAGTCATAAGGTAGCATACAGACAATTAAGTGCTCAGCAYGCTTAAATGTATGTTTAAAGCTATCAGCAGTTGTGCTATTTGTCTTGAAATTAGTTAATATGATGGCTTACATTGCCTTTCTGTAGATGTGAAAATACATGCAGTGGGAGATAGTTGGTCATAAAAAGCTTTTTCATGTGACTGCCAAAAATGTAGCAAGATTGAATAGCTGCAAGCAAAGATGACAGAAATTAAGATTAGAAATGAAGTAAAAATTGTAAAGGGCAACAGACAAATCCAGGAGAAACTTGCCAAAGAATAGTRTCAATTTTCACTTGTTTGAAGTCTCCACTTTGGGATTACGTCTTTGAGATGGAAAGTCGTTTGAGCAGTGTTATGGTGCAGAAATTGTTTGTTGAAAATAATAGTTTTATACAATAAGTCAGATCAAGCAAGAAATATTGTTCCTTTTGTTTTTAAACTGGAAGCAGCTCTATGAGTACAAAACAGTACTTTTGAATCCTTGTTTTATTTGGTGGGCTGTTGTCCAGCTATTGGATTACATTGAGATAGCAGGAGACTAAAGTAATTTTACTACCAAACTTCTTGAGACATTTTTGTTCCTTAAACTAAAATAAAATCTGCTTCAATTCYGCTGTAACCTGTGATCATTGAGTAAATAATAATTGCATGTCATTATCTAATCARTGTTTAAAAATAGAATTAACTTACAAAGGAGGTAACATTTCTAGACACTGGCATTAGCCAAATCATTTTAATAGATGTTGAGTGTTTTACTTTTTACTCTTCTTTCAAACATGACAGAGGCCATGGTTGCGATATTGTTTCTTGTAAAATACCATTTATAACTTTTTTTAAAAGACCATTTCTATAGCAAAGTGCTTAGAAATGAATTAAGGTTTTATATGTAATTCCTAAGAGACAAAGTGAAAAATGCTTTCCAACTCAATATACTTACCCAGTTAAACAAACTGTGTGTGTATCACTCTAGATAACAATTCCTCATTTATTTTACAAGAACCTTTTACAAGCTTTGAACTCATTCATTGTCTTGAAGGAGGTTTACAAACCCCAGAGAAAATACAAACGTCAAACAGGAGCTGAGGAACTGCTGGATGAGGAATCAAAAGTTCATGCTACRCTTCTGGAATATGGCAGGTGAAAGGCTTCATTTAGCTCTCTGTGCATTTTGTATTGTGTATATTACAAGCATTACAGATAAAATTAGGATTGTGGTGGCATTTTTCCAACTACTTTAGAATTGAACTATTTCAGATTTATTCCTGTTTAGTTTCAGATTTTATTTATTTACCCTGTAAATTCTCTGGGAACTGGACAGTCCTCATGTTTGTGAATCATACTTTGTACAATGGGAGGCCAATTTCAGGTTTATGCTCCTGGTAGGRTATGTTTTTTTAATATACTTTGTGTTGGGAGAATGTGTAAAAAATGGCTTAAATTAATGATCCTTCTAGGTAGTGTATGTCAATCAACATTGCCTTTTTGCATGCAGTCCCCAGAAATTGTGAAGCTGCAGTTGCTATTGCTTCTTTTTCTAGTTCTTGTGTGGCTGCTGCATCAGGAGGCTGCATCATGGTAGAATGTTTTGTCTTTTTACTTTCCTGCAAACTTCCATTTAGAGACAAAGTTACCAAGGCTTTCACTTTTCCATTATCTTTGAAAGTCCCTCTGGTTTACTGAGAGCTYTCCAAACACATAAAAATGAAGTTACAGAAGCTTTTATTTCTAGTTTTTATTTCCAGCTTTCTTTCTTCAGTTTAGTGGTAAGGACARCTTGTCTGCTCTCTGAGCTCTTAATACTCAATGAGTGTGGATGACATTTGAATCCCATTTTGTATCTTCTGGGGCTTCTTTTCCCCCAAAGCCATAGATGTTTAGATTTTTTTTTTCTCGCTGTTTTGAGTTATTTCCTTTTAACAGTAATGTGGACTGTAGTGTAATAGCTCAAGAATAACTTTCAAATGGAAAGAGGGCATACTTTTTCCTTTCATGAGCTATACATGACAGTGTTTTATGGAAAGTCAAGATTTGCAAATCATGATGGAAGGAATAGATGGATCTGAAATCTTTCTGTAAATACGTTGTAGTACCTGCTTATTTGGCTTACTGGAAACATTTCAACAACTAATTTGATCCTGGCTGTTGGTGCATATCTTGTGTTGAAAACTGATAGAAACTTGCTGTATTTGTAAAAGTAATAAACAACAGTATTTTTCCCTCATGTTACTATTGTTCTTTTAGGCGATACGGATTTAGCAGACAAGCAGGGAAAACAGAACAGGTAAAAATATACTAATTTAAAATACTCTAATTGTGGGAAGAGCTGCATTGTTGAAGTGTTGGTTACTGTTAAATCTTAAAAGAATACAGTAGAACAAACAGCTATAACTTCTGTTATTAACAGATTTAAAAAATAGCTAACTGGAACTAAAATCTGCATGYGTGAAAGGTGGAATTGATTACCCTCTTTTGAAGGATTTCCTTCATCTCTGCTCACAGATCACAATTTGCAAACACTTTTTTTGCTTAGAAGAAAGAAGGTTTGGGCRATGTGTTTGTTTTGGTTTGATTTTTGCTGCAGGGTAATGACATATCTTGTCTGTTTAGTGARTATCTTTTAACTGAGTGCTCCATGATGTGATTATGATCATTAAAGTGTTTTTCTTTTTAAAGAACATTCTACTTGGCAGGAAATATTGTAGGTATTTATTACAAAACAGCTTGTTTAATGTGATAGAGAAACATTATGCCATGCCACAAATAAATCATTGTGCTTCTTGAAAAGTAGCATCTTTGCCGTGCTTTTGATGATTATGGAATCTTAAAATGTGGAGTACCTGCAGTTTTATTATTTCAGTGCAGATATTAATTTGGAATCAAGTTTTTATTATAGACAGAGATAATCAAGGTGATGCATTAAGCATGTCTTGGACACAACAATACATTRAATAGATTAGGGTTGTTCTTYTTCATTATYACAGTATTCCAAACACAAATTTCAYRCTTRATTTTTATAAATGAAGGTATTTYCCAATCTAGTCATGYCTGCTTTCCCCACAGGGTAACYGCCAGTCAYGTTTATAGAGTTCATTTTATTTCTTAAAAAATTTTGTTGACTTTGGGATATTAATTGGGTAATTACATGTGCATCATGATGGTTGTGGAAGTTGAGTCTCCAGTAAGGCAGAAGTGGATGGTGAAATAGTCCATTTAGTGGTGCAGTAGAGTGACCTAGAAATTCAGTGTCTGCCAGCTCTCATTAGTTCAGTGGTATGAATTTTCCAGTTTTGCACTTTTTATGTCATATGTTTATTACACCAATATTAAGTTATAAAAATGATTTTTGTAAAAAAAAAAAAAAAATCAGTCTTGTCCTGTGTAGTAGATATCATATTCTGTGTTGTCTTCTGAGGTTAGTAGCTCTTAGAAGGCTGTGGAATAAGGAATCTTTGGACAGGATGAGTTGACAGGAAGCCAGAGACACACAGTTGGAAGGGTTGGAATATTTGTGAGAAATCAGGGAGGCTTACATTGCAGTTGACATGCTTTGGAGTGTGAGGATGTTCCAGTAGCTGAAATGTACCCAAATAAACAGCTACATTTTTCCATTTTTCTCCTTGATGTCTTGACACTTCAGAATATTGGAAGTAGATATAATAATGTCTTAATTTTCCTTTAAAAGGCTGAAGATAAAAAACCAGTGCTACCTCCAGGGCTTGCAACAGCAGGGAAAGCTGAGCCTTGTGATGAAGATGACCTTCAGGCTGCTGAAGAGGTGTGCTCCTCACACAGTAGGCATGGGAGTTACTATCTTGGGGGGTGGACAGCAGTTTTTACTGCCCAATTATTCTCCAGAAGAAGGAAAATTTCCATGAATAGTCATGGAATAGTCAGTCTCCTGCTTCCCACAACAGAATATGGAGACTGAAAGTGGTGCACAAAATTAATGTTTGTTGATGGTAACTGCCCAAAAATTCAATTTTTGTTTTGGAATCTGAGCATTTKTTAAAAGGTTGATTTTTGGTTGACAGTGGGAACTGAATAATCCATCTGAACATTTACTGTTACAAGAAATTCTTCTTAAATTTGGTAACTTTAGCCACCTCTTCATCTTTCACAGACTTAGTGCATCATTACATGTTTTAAAATACACATTATATGATACTAATTATGTGACCCTGTCCCTGGCAGAAGAAAGGTAAACAGTATAAGTTAATTATGTGTAATTCTTCGTATTTTGCTCCAGCTTCGCATTAAAACTCTGATGACTGGAATGGCTGCAATGGCAACAGAAGAGGTCAGTAGCTTTTAAGACTCATACAGCATTGTTTAAATTATGGTTTATTGTGGTACTTATTCCTAAAATCAGATTGCTGATTCAGGTCTAAGACACTGGAAATACTGGATATGTAATACTGGATATATATCTTGTTTTCTTAATTTGTTGTGTTTAATGGTATCGTGGAACTTGTAGTCTGTTCTTTGATTTCTGGGTGAGAGGACTGGGAAGAAGCTCAATTGTTAAACAATATTTCTGTTTATGCTGGAGTTGTGAAAGAAAAGGCAGTAATTAGTCTCAGAGTTCATTGATATGCTTGCTACTGAAAATCCATTGTAGAATTCAGTTCTATTTGAAAACTGGTTTTATACATGCAGTTTAAAGGTGAATTCTTGCACATGCCTGCATGCTCAGAGTTTTATTACTGCAAATGCAAAATTCAGTATAAAGAATAGAATTAAAATTAAGTTTCTGAAATCYGAATAAAAATTTGCTAAGACRCTTTAARTAAGAAATTTTTGTCAGCAAAATTAGCTTTGGGGGGTGGAATGTTGCCTGGATTTTTCTTACAATTAGAGATTTTTCCCATTGTGCAAATTCCTGTTTGAAATTAAAACTTACTGGGAATTGTCATGTGAACGTACAAGCAGTTCCAAAACTCCAGACATTTTCTTGCTACAATTTCAGGGCAAACTGACAGCAAGCACAGTTGGCCAGATTGTTGGACTCCAGTCAGATGAGATCAAGCAAATCGTGTCTGAATATGCTGAAAAGGTAAGTGTGTTACCTGAGTGGGTTTAACCATGTGGGGTTTTATAGCTTGTTAATTTAGGCCTTAAGCTGCCAATATCATTGCCATGATTCTCTTGAAACACACTGTTTAATATATGCTGTGGGCAGCAGCACAGCCAGAATTCAGGAAAGGATTTGAAAGAGATTCAAACCACRCACAAGCTTTTGATATGATAGTACATACCCCTGAATTGCATTCATGACTAATTTGGGTCTAAGCACCTGCCTAAACGCTTTAATGAATGAAGAAGGGCCTATGTTGTATCTGTTCAAACTAGAGGGCTAAATTCTTAAAATGTTTTAAAATGTTCAGTGTTGAGCACAGAAATACAGTTCTGTGGGCCTGCTCAGAGAAAAGTCTCCTCCACTTAGAATTCCACATGTGTCGCTGGGCTCCAGTTCTCAGTCCTGGATCTCAAGTTTTGATCCTTGTCTCATCAAACCAAAACCTTTGTTGATTTGAGAAGTCAAGGCAATTAAATGTGTGTGTTTGCTCCAGTTATTGTGTACAATTGCAATGCTTTTTTGCAGTAACGTGAAAAGAAAATCTGGCTCTTGAAGCAATTAATGCRTCCAATACATCACTGCCAGATATGAGTTATAGGTCGCTCTTATTTGTCCAATAGTCTTCTCATATTTCTTCCATTTTGTTGACACATTTGAGGTATGGAGCTTTCCCRTTTTGAAGATAAACCCTATAGCTCAACAGAAACTCTTGGCCTTTCTTTATTATAAAAAATCGGAAGAACAGAAGCCCAAGGGTCATATTTCAATGTTAYATTTCTTCTGTTCTCAGAGAAGGCAGCAGGACCTTGACTATTATAGTAGAACAATGATTAATACTCTGGAAAGCAAGAACTGATTCAAGTCAAACCAAAAATAGATCACTTTTCAAATCTATTGGATGTGATTTCAAAAAAAACCAAATCTGTGCACATATACATGCATCAGGAAAAGAATGAGGTTATCAGAGAGTTTGTTGAAGCATTAGCAATGTTTAGATATAATTCTAATAGTCTTAGCCCCTTGTAACTATACATAGCCTGAGCAACATAGCAGTGCTTATTTATCTGCTGGAGTCTTGATAGAATCCACAAGCCCAGTGAAGATAGCTCTGACTAGCCCATCCTAGATCTGATGTTGCCCTGTACCAGGACCTTTCTTACAAGAGGCATTTTTGCAGAAGATCAATGCTTACAGTTTTCTGTATTTGCCCCTCCATTCTGCTGCCATGTTAACTTGCTGAGTTAACTGGGGGAAGGGTTTTAGTGTCGTTYCTCACCTTCTAAAAATWYTGTCAGAAAATTATGAGTGAGTAAYAAATTGATCATTAAACAGTCAGAGACATTAGTGCTCAAATAGAGCTTCTTAAACTATGTCCAAAAGGCAGCCACTCTTTCAGTCTAGTAAGAGATCAGGTAATAAAAAGGTTTAAAAGCAAAGTGGCTTCTGTAATTTGTGCTTTCTTTCTTCTGTGCTGAAAGATGGATTTTTCTCCACAAATTGGATCCYACTTCCTCAATAAAGCTACAGTGCTGCTGCAGAGTGGATTTTTAGCCCACAGTGACTGCAGGAGGTTCACCTCTGTCTTTTTCATTTTCAGAGCAGAATTTCTCTTCAGAAACCTCTTTTATTAGGGTGATGGTTATTTCCCATTTTCAAAAAGCAAGCTGTAACGTTAATTTCTTAAAATATGACTTTTTTTTTTTAATGCCAAAGCTGTACTGTATGGATTTTTACTATTTTTGCARACATCAGTCTCAGGCTGGTTTAGCTCATGTTTCTTTTGCATTTCCATTTTTCTCCATTTGTRTCTTATGCATGTAAGAGGCTAAGTGTGTGGTGAGAAGGATGAGGTTTTGGAATGCATAACATGATGAAGGAATGTGATTTGACTAACTAATGAGAGAAGGCTGAGTGTCTATTTGTTGAGTAGCTCAGGATTACAGGTGTTGCTGTGAGGCATTTCTTCCTTTCCTAAAAAAGGAAAGAAAGTATTTGAATTGTTGGGTCAAGATGTCAGAATTGRTCTTTTTTTGCTGTGGATGCAGAAACATAGCAAACCATTAGGCTGCTCTTCAATATGAATAACACAGAAAATAGAGAGGAGGAAGACACATTTTGCCTCTTATTKTAATTTAAAATTAAGATGCTTACCCATCTGCCTAGAGTGGAACCAGGAGCAAATATGAGTGAAGAGTATATCACACTTCTTGTAGCATTTTAGCTGATTATGCATTGTAGCAGTTGTCAACATTTGGTAATTATTCAACAAGCACTTAGTATTGAAGTCTTTGACAGGTTTTAAATTAGCAGTTGAGATACTTGAAAATTAACTGGTTTTCTAATGAAATATTGGAAAATGGATTAAGTTGAAAAAAAAAGTCTGAGTGCATGAAGCAAATTACCAAAAAAGATGGATTTTAGTATTGAAGACTTTCAAAAGGTACAAAAWTTTTTAGGCAAAAAATTCCATAGATATCAAGATGATATCTTGATATCTGTTTTTTGATGATTCTTTTGTCTACTGCAAATACTCAATTTCTATTATAAATGTTATTTCTGAGAATGTTTTTGTCAGCTTTGCTTTCACAATTCAGAGGGAAGGGGAGACTGGATCCAGATTKCTGTCTTCATTATGTATTTATGAGACACTCTCTTGGCAATGCATCCTGGATTGATAGTTCTCAGAAGCTGATGTCAGTAGTACATGTGCACACACACACAMAAAAACCCCAGAGTAAATGTAGTCGTCATTCAACATTAAGATGCAACCAAGCTTCTATTTCAGAATCTTAAATATTTTGTATTTTTTCCATTTGAGAAGTCTACCAGGTTTAACCATAATGCTGATGCAAAAAACAAATTGTCTGTCTTCTAGTACACTGTAGTACTTTTCACTTGTCCCAGGGCACCGGACTTTATTTTTAGCTTACTGTACTTRTAAATTTTGGAATACAATTCTGTTGTTTAGCTGCTTCCTTATTTTGATGYGAGATAAGTCAGTCAGTCATTCTGTTGGATAGTGGGACACAGGTCTTGGTAAGGAACATCATAAGTGTGTCCCACTTTGATACCACTTTCCTGAGTTTGTGAGGAGGCAGAAGGTCCAAAAAGGCTGCTGTTACTGTTCTTTTAGCAATCTGAGCTCTCTGCTGAGGAGCGACCAGAAAGGCTTGGAGCTGCCCAGCAACACCGAAGGAAGGTGGCATCTCTGAACAAGCAGATTTTGCAAAAAACCAACCTCCTTGAAGAGGTAAGCATTGTGTGTGTAATAAAGAAGAAAACATTAATAAAAGTGGTTGATCACRAAGTTTTTGTCATCCAGAAAAGATTTTCAAGCTGTGTTTCGCGTGGCAGTTTGTCACGCTGAACACTGATTTCTCTGAATATCTTGCTTGCATTGCCCTTGGATTGTGAGAACAGGTTGTGTTCTTGGGAGCAGTCAGCTCAGGCTTCACTTTGGGGAGGACCATGCTATTTGCCATTTTAACAGCTGAGGGCCCTTTAATTCTGTGCTGCTTGTTTTTAGTACATAACAATCTCAGTGCTGTTTTTATGTGGGGAAAAATGTACTGACAGCTGTAAGCCAAATATAATTCTTTATCACTTTAGTAAAGTAAAAATTTCCTGGCTGAATTTTATTTACCACTTGCCAAAAGCAGCTTTTGAAATCAGTGACAGTCAAGATCCTGCCTTAAATAAAATGTTTATGGAGCTCTGGTTTCAATACTACAGTAAATTTTGGCAAGATTTTGCATAACTAACAGTTCATGTCAGTTTTCATGAGATGTGGACTGCAGACTTAAAYTTTTTTCAGAATTAGAATACAGTTTATTGGTGAAAAAATGTGAAAAACAATGCAAAAGCTTTCTTGTTGTAAGTTCAGCTGTGGGAAGGGAAGAGTGAAAGATTAATTACAGCTCTGTATTGTGAATAGCAAACTAAAGCAGCWTGAAAGGAAGTGGAACTGAGCTACCATGTGCATTTTTGTTTGCTCACTTTTRCTCCACTTTTGTAAACCATGTCCCATTTTTGTTTTACTATTTGCAATGTTAGCTTAAGTCATACGGAGTTTCAAAAAGGATGTTCTTCTAAAACTAACCTCTGTAAATTAAATGACAAGTGAAATACCTAATATTTGGTTATAATACCTGTTTTGCTAACTGCTTTCTTATTAGACTTTACATAGTTRCACAAAAGAAAACCATAAAGCAGATTGGTTATGTGGTGTGGAAATGTCTGTGGTTTGGTGCTGTGGTGCTTCTGTGCAAGTCTTGAATTGCCCTGACTTATTTGGAGAAGTATAAAATGGGATTCATTCTTAGCCTGGTGTGAAACYAGGCCAGTACAACCAGGCTAAGAAAGTTTGAGCAATTTAGCAGAGATTCTGTCCAATACATCACCATTCTGTTGGCCTCTATTTTGTTGTTTAGTCTTGGACCTAATACACCTAGAAGGTGATAAATGCTTGCTGTTATTAACTAAATATTCAATCAGAATTCTTGCAATCAGATGCAAGAATAGCTGACAAGAAAAGACAGTGTTTGTTATGCTTGGCCTGTTGTTTGACAGRCAACCATTATGAATAGCTCAAATATTCTCTGTTCTCCATTACAGGTGTAATTAGTGTGAATATAGAATCCAACTTTTTTTTTCTCTTTCATAACAGTTGCAAGCTAAATGTGCTGATCTGCAGGCAAAATGTGCTGAAGCAAAAAAGACATTAACAGAGGTAATCTTTGTTTTTCTGTGTGCTGATTGTAGCTGAAATGTTTTTGTGAAGTTCTGTATGTAAAGGGTTGTATTAAACAGTGAAGATGTTTTCCAACTTAACTCACTGATTTCAGGGTGTGGGAAAGCTGGGTACCATGAATCATTTAATGTGTGGAAGTGTATTTAAATTTATTATTAATTGTAACCCATAGGTTAAGAGTTACAGTGAAAAGCTGGACAAGGAATTGGCAGCCTTAGAAACAATAGAATCCCAAGCAGATTCTAGGTAAGTTTCTTCCTTTGTTACCTTTGAAATTCTGAAAAATAATTGTTTTAAAATGAATCATTCAATGTTTCTTGCTTTGTGAACCTCAACAAATAACTAAAATTTAAAAATTAAATAATTCTCCAGCTTGCTTTCCAAAGACAGGGAAATATTACAATAAGATTTGGTCACAATGGAAAGTGTCAGTCTGTAGCTGAAAATAATTGTAGGTGTTTAAAGCAGAAGAACACTAGACATMTTTGACAAGTTGATGAGGCCTTCTTGATTTATTTTGTTCATATTTGAAGGCTTCATCTTACATAAATTAAATAGGAGTTTCTCAAAACTTCCACAGTAATGAGATAGCAAAACCATCAGAAGAATACTCGGCGTTAATACTACATCTTTATTTTGACCTTGGTATATCAGCAGTAATATTTGGGGGTTTCATTTACCCAGGTTTTATTAGAAATTTATTTCAAACTAATCATGTATTAATGTATGTTAATTCTCTGTCTATTACAATTAAAAACTAAAAATCTAACGTGGTTTACTGGATCTTCAAATTTAGCATATTACAGAGTCTGCGAGCACTGGTGGCCATGAATGAAAACTTAAAAAGCCAGGAGCAAGAGTTCAAAGCACATTGTAGGGTAAGTTCCAGTGTGTCCTACATGGATTCATTTAAAAAACTGATTTCATTTTATGCTGTGTATCCCTGTCCATCATCTGTCCCATACACTCACYCTCCATGTACTGGTAATTCCAGGTTTCTTTTTCTTTTTCCAAGAGCTTTTCTTTGGAAAGCTCTAAAGGATTATAMTGGAAACTTCCTTGCAAGGAACTTCAGGTTCATTCATTTCCTTGCATGCCATACACTGCAGTCCCATGTCACACTCTTTGCTTTTCAGTTTTATTTCCCATGTCACTCATGAGTTGTCTTAGCTGGATCGGGTATATTTGCAAGTAAGAAATAAATCTGTTYCTGTGTTTGATAAAAGCAGACAGTTTAATGCAATGAATATTAATGCATGCCTTAAGCAGGGAATGCTGTTTAATCTTCTAAATTTAAATATAATGTGTGTGGTCAGCTCTGAAATTTTGTTAGAAATATGTGTTGTCAAGATCCCTGCTCTTCCCTGTTAAGAGAATAGGTTTTACTTGAAAACAACATCCATTTTTGTTTGTTTTAAAGGAAGAAATGGAGAGACTACAACAAAATATTGAGAATTTGAAAGCTGAAGCAGCAGAAAATGGRGAGGAACAGGTAACAGCACAAGTCTAAGTTCTAGTTTTCAATTTCTGTTTTGAAACATTAAGTCCATCTGACTCTTGGGACATTCTTGTAAGAGTTAAAGTATCTGCTGGAATATCTGAAAAGCTCTGTAAAGCCACAGTTCAGGGTAATAATCCTAGAAATACAGGAGTCTGAAAACAGCTGTAGCATTCTCTTATTCTTGTTATTCTGYAAGTTATGCATGCAGAATCCATGTGGCTCTACTCATAGATGRTTTTGTGCCTTTTGCTCTTTTCTTTGTAGTACCAGAGAAGAATCTCTGGGTGGTGTGTTAAGAGCTGTGCATGCCTCTGACAAGAATAGGTCTTCCTCAGGAAGCATGTCTGGTTTTGTTGGGGTTTTTTTTTTTTTGTAGAAGTGGGTTTATCTGAAGGATTTAAGCAAGACCTTTCAGTGGCTTGTACACTGCATGCAGTGAGCAGCTKTCAGAAGTTAGACTTTAACACAAGCACATCCAGAATGATGGCAATGAATAATGAATGAACAGAAAAGGAAAAGCTTCAATGACTTTATTTTCAGTGGGTAAACATTTGATGCATTCATGCCTATAAGATGAGGCAGATTACAACTTCTGTGATGCTGCCATCCTTCTCAACMCAGCATGAAAAAATTAAAATGTAAACCAAGACCTTAATTTTTTTAGCAAGGAAAAGTTACCTTGAAGTCCACACTGCAGGAAATCTAGAATACATGTAGGAGGGTTTATGTTCTGTTCAAGTGCCTTGTTTATTCTTAACCCCACCACTGAATCAAAGTATAAACACTCAGACAAGGGGTGCTGACAATCTTAGAAGTTGTATCTTCATTTGAGGTGTCACTGTTGTAAAACAGTGCAAAAACTATTGCTAACTCTTAAAAACTAAAATATCAAAAGATAAAAGCTATCTGAATGCACTTGTTTACAGTAAATGATGTCAGGCTTTTAATACAGATCATGAATTATTATAAAAAAAAAAACCAAACAACTAATTAGGATGTTATTGTGGGAGCCAAAGATAGACAAAACCACAAAACAATTTTGCACTGCAGCTCTCATATGCTACAGTAATATACAATTGTTTTGGGTTCTTAACTTCCAGGAGCCAAATAAGATAATAGAGCAGCAGTACAAAGCTGAGAAAGAGAAACTTCAAAAGATCCGCCTGCTACTGGTGAGTAATTCTTTGTGTATTTACTTATACAAAATCGTTGATGTTTTTCTTATCTTGTAACTTCTAATGCTTYGTTTTGTTGTTCTAATTTTAACAAGTGCTTCTGTCACAAATCAATCGCAAAAAAAAAAAAAAAAATTCATCCTCCGCCAATGCCTTTTGTTTTTAAAATCAATTATTTAATAACAAAGTATTGCTGGGGGGGCTTCATCCATTTTAAGAAGAGAACAAGAAGAGGYTTTGTTTTCTCCCCTCCTAACTTTCTATTCAGGCACGAAGAAACAGAGAAATAGCCATTTTACAACGCAAGATTGATGAAGTACCCAGCCGAGCTGAGCTCACACAGTATCAGAAGAGATTTATTGAACTTTACAGTCAGGGTATGTATATCAAGCAGGACCATCCTGCTGAAGGCTAWAGCCCTGAGAGGAGGGCAATTGCATTTTAAGCATATGGCATGTAACAAGAGCACTTATTAATTTTGGTGACATTTTAAAGATCTTTGGTATTCRTGTTACACACCATATTTTTAGGTTTTATAAGCTGGCTTTGAGAATTTTCCTAATGGTGAAACTCAATGCATAAGATCTCTGAAGCAAATTTTGACTGCAACAGATTCTGTGATTTAGGTTAATGACCAGTATGTTTTGAAAGTCCTTAATTTATCATTTACAAATGAGCTTGCAGTAAGTTTGAATCGTGTTTAATTAATTTGCCTTACCATTAGATTGGTTTTATTGTTTTCATTGACATGAGAGATCTTACTCTGAACCAAACTGTCATGAACTGCATAGTAAAAGCAGTCTCTTGAAGGGAGTGGTTTCTTTCATTTCTTGTCAACACAATGCWGCAATATCTTGGTAGGAACAGAACACAAATTGTCTTTAGCTGTTATAATCAGAAATTATAAAATTGGAAAGCATGCAAATGGGATAAAATTTCAAAGTTGTTCCATAAACTGATAACAGACCAGTATGCTTACTGGTGTATATTAAACTAGCTTGTGTATTAGCATAAGCTAAGTCTCTACTAAGAAAAACCAGCTAATGTTTCAAAGATATTCTGCATTTATTAAATATGTGTGTGMACCAAGCTCTGGAATATTGAGCAGTTCCAGACTGGTTATCTGAGTGTGATCCCTTGCCCTGGTGTGGCATCTCTAGTGACAGTCCTGTGCTGTCCTCCATGTGTGTAGTCTAGCTCAATACATGGAATAGATGAGAGTACAAATCCAGTATTTTCCCCCTTCTTTGCTGTGCCATGCAGTTTATTTAATCAASTACAGCTATACAGAACTTGTTTTGCATTAAATTTTCTGCAGATTCTGTCATGTCTAAGTGAATTCAAAGTCTCTGSTCAGAACACAACCTGCTCAGAAGATGGAGTTTCTTTTAAATCTGAAGTACAGAAAGACTAGGATCAAAGAGACTTGGGCAGCTTTGGGTGTAGATTTGAGATGCTTTGAATTTTATGGGACTTTGTTCTCTAGATTACAAAGTATGTGTAGTATCTCAGGATAACACACTACTCAGTCGTGGTGGGGAACCTGCTTTGTACAGATTAACCTTCTAGAGAAATGAGCTGGAAATCTCTAGCTAGYGTTTCTGTGAATTGTGGTATTTTTAGAAGTGTTTAGAGTTTTCATTCAGCCACATTCAGATCAGGTACCCTTCAGTTGCCAGAAATTCTTTTTTTTGAACTTTGATTCAGGGGGTGTTAGACAAGACAGTCTTCAGCAATAACGTCTAACCTTAGTGATCTTTGTACTAGAATCCTTTTCAGTTACAGTACTCAGTGTTTTGGTTTTGACCTAGCTGAACCTCTTGCATTGAAAACATTCAAGAGAATCAATGACCCAGTTGCTTCCTTCTTCCTCTTCTTCCTTTATCTGTCTTACCTTGCATGGGTTCTGGTGTGTGCCCAAAAGGCTCTGTAAGTTGGCACAACTTTCTAACACAATGGAAGCCTTGAAAGGTTTTCAGAGTTGTTACGTGGAATCCATTCATGAAAGACTTGTGACTACCAGAACTGCTGGAAGAACAGAAAGAGTTGCATGAAGGAAATTATTTGGGAAAGGCCTCYTTTTCATTTGGCAGTATTTCTGCAAATCCCAGACTGATGAGCATGATTTCACTGTTTATAATTTTTAACCCACACATTTTTTCCAGGTTCTGGTTCTTATCCAGAATGACTTTTGCTGTTTGTTGAACTCTTTCCTTGGAAATCACAAATAACTTGGGTTTCCTTAGGCATTGAAGAATTAAAGACTAGAAGAACTCTCAGGAGATTTGAGTATCATCTTGTAGGCCCAAAGACAAGGCATGTCTGAGCCTTACCTTCCCAGCTGAGCTCTGACCAACATCTGCTGTAACCACCTAAACCAGAAAGTATTACATAATTCCATCACCATGCATAGATTATAAGAAGRTAGAAAGACTTTAACACAGCAAAAGCTTTGTTGGGTGTTTTGCAGATGTGTAGCTTGAGATACATTGTCTAATGCACTTTTAACAGATTATCTGTTCTTCCCTGTCCCTGCCCAGCCCGTGCCCCTCCCAACACCATGGGCAAGGTCCCCAATGAGCAGCACAGCTCCCTGTGTAGTGTGAGGGTAAAGCTTGGGAAGGAAGCWTGGACAGGCAGCTGATGGTGCCAACATGTGTTGGCATAAAGGGCTGTCAGCAGTTGGGGCTTAATTTAGACAGAGCTGTGTTGGTCTCATAAAAGCTGGAAACCCTGCTGAGATACACTCTGGAAGGATGTTCCCTCTGCATGTATATTAACGAGTGTGTTCCATTATTGATAGTGGAAAATACGTTATATAAAGCCTTACAGATTCCATTTTACCTCATGTTCTTTTATTATTCTACCCTTTTTTTTGTTTGCAGTCTCAGCAACTCACAAAGAAACGAAGCAGTTTTTTACTCTTTATAATACACTGGATGATAAGAAAGTATATTTGGAAAAGGAGGTAAGAAAATGTTATTACTGTTTTCTAAGTATTCAGTCTGTGGGGAAGGAAATAAGTTTTTGCTTGGCTTTCACCATATTCAGTCCTGTCAGGGCAGAGTTACTGGTCTTTGTAAATAAAAATGGAACGACTGATTCATAAGAATGTTTCTAATCTTGAAAATGTTGTAAAGGAACTGCTGTGAGTWCAGCATGTTTAAACCACTCTCTGTGCTTTCAAAACATGAGTAACATTTGATCAGCAAATATCTGTCTTGCTATCACAGCACCAAATTACCCCCTTTTTCTCCTTTTAGTCAACAGATTTTATTTGGAAGCCAGGTTGCAGTCCGTAACTTTGGAGAGCAAATTCCAGCTGCTGTCAGCAACATCAGAATTAGTTCTCAGGGTCTGAGCTAACTACACTTAAGTTGCTGGTGATCTTATTGGGTCAGAGTAGTTTTCATGAAAGCAACTTGGTTTTCCCCCCTCCTCAGATATATGCAGAGTTTGCCTCTTTCTTGGGCATAATTGAGTGATTTCAGTTTTCCTGTTTTGCAATGACAAGTGATGTTACTGATTTCAGTAAAGACAGAGAAATAGGAGGAGTCAAGTTGATAAAAATGGCTTTAATTTTAAAATGTTTTGAAGCCTCAGGTTTATCCGTTTATTCTAATAAAGTAACAAATTAGTGAGTTTTGCATTGCTTAGATATATTGCTTAGTTTAGGACACAAGCAGTGGTCAAATTTCTGACTATGTTAAGACACTTTTCAGTGTCCTTTCACATCCTGTTTTTAAGATCATGAGCAACCATTTCCTTCCCTTAAGCAGCTGATTGCAATCKACATTTGGTAGTTTTCATTTTTGCCATTCAGAAAAGTCAGATACCAGATTTTAAAAATTGCCTTGGGTAGAAGCTACAGAATTTCTATTACTTAACCTTCTCTCCTAAAATAGAGTTTAATACAGATTTATTTGTTTGGGTTTTTTTNTTTTTTTTTTTTAATGGGGACATAAAAAGCTGATTATAGAGAATATAGAAACAGAATATGTAGCAGATTTATTTCACTGTTTTATAAACTGGGAGTACTCTTGCCAAAATAATTCAATAACTATTGGGAATTCAATAACTATTGGGGGTTCACAGTGGTTCTGAATGTCTTCTAATGCCATCTTAACTTAGTTAAATATCACTGAGATTTCCTTGAGATGCATTTAATATTAGAACCAAGGTTTCAGCAAGTAAATACTGTCTAATACTGTATAAAAAGTGACTTTGGCATTTGTGCCGTACAAAGATTTCTAGAATACACTTGCTCTTTGTCTTGTTCCTGGTTTTTTAGRGATTTTTTCCCCTTTTTCCTCCCCAAACTAGCTCTTTTGTAAAACACACTGAGCATCATTGCTTTGTTATACAGTTGAATTTTTCATGGCTATGAATGTTTTAGTTCTGACAGGAAAAGTCTCCGTGATTATGGCTCATATTTTCATCCTATTTTGTGATTAATTTTTTAAAATACTTTTAAACTMATTTTTTTCATGTCTTTCAATTTTGGGGTGTGTATATGTGTGAATATGCTGATTTCACTGTAGTGTAACACATCCTCACCCTTCCTTATGCAGTGATGGTGCAGCACTGCTGTGCAGTGTTACTTTTCATGACTTGAATGTTTTGTGGTATAAACTAATTATGTTCTCAAGCACAGGATTAGGGGAAGTGTCTTGAGGCAGAGATGTGGACATAGCAAATATTGATGAATCGTGCAATAATTTCACTCCTGTAAATAACAGGAATTCTTAAGCATCTTGGCTGCTTAGGAGTCTGTTCAGAATTTGTTTGAATTTTCCAAGGGACCATCAGGAATGTCTGCAGATTCTGCCATGCCTGTGGTTGTTGCCATCTCATTCAAGATTTTAGATTTGGGAGAGATGAGTTCAGCTTTCTGCAGCAGTGGGGCAGGTGATTCTGTTTGCAGCCCTTGGGTTTGYTTAGTGCAGAACTTTTCAAATACTCATCCAAAGGAGAAGCTGCTTGGAAGTCTTAACCACAGGAGACTTGCAAGATGTATTCAAAGCTGAGAGAAAGGTCCCATTAATTGCAAGTGTTGAATTTTAATGCTCTCAGCAATATTTAAAAAAACCTAAAAATCAAAGGCAGTTACATAGGATGTATTCCATATAGTTAATTAGCTGGGGGAATTTATATGAGCAACCAAATATTCCTGTGATGCTGTTATAAATTCCTATTTTTGTTTTGATTCAGTGCAATGTTATTGTCTTGTAAGAGAAGGCAGACCTGTGAAATGCCATTCTGTACTTTTTATAAGTTCACCTTTAAGCATCCAGTAAAATACACAGAAGCAAAGGAAGTAATGATGCCTGGTAGGAAACCTGTGAAACTCATCTGCACAATGAAAGCAGTGCAGGAATTCACCTGCACTGCTTGGAGAGTCTTCACAGGATTGTGTGGAAATAGCTCTTCAGAGAATGTTGAGTGGTTCCAGTCTCTGAGGTGAAAGTGGCTCTTTTCCTGTTTATTTGTGATGTGCTTGTGCACAGTCACTGATGAACACTGGACCTGTATCTGCAAAGTGCTTTTATGTCAACTTTCAACACCTGCTCAACACATGTACAGGCCACTTTACCTTATTGCTTTAGTTTGGGAAGGCATCATACTCACATAATTCTCACTGCCATAACTGAGTGTCAGTAAAATTAAAAACCTCACTTGTGSTCCAACACTTATTTCTGCTGTGATTCCACCAGTGGGATAGATTTYACTAAATCAAAAGGATCATAATTTCTTTTCTGAAAGAAAACTCTTGGTGATTTTTGTACATCTGTCTGCTTTCGAGGGCATTATCTATATAGTAWTTTTTTTAAAAACTAAAATTCATCTTACTGTCTGTGAAAACTCATACCAGAAAAGACAGATGTTTATTTTCTTCTTTTTTTTTTTCTAACTCACAGGTTAACTTACTGAATTCTATTCATGACAACTTCCACCAGTAAGTTATGGTTCTTTATCTCTTAATCATTGCAGTGGTACGATTGGTTGGACAAATGGAGTAGGCATCAGTTATAGAGACTAAAAACTTCTTAGATTTTATAGTAATAAATTGATTTATAGAATAGTTTATTAATTCTGTTTAAGCCAGTTTGGGGAATCATAGACTCAGAATTACGTAACTTTTATAGCCAACATATGTTTTTAATATCTGACTCCTTAGATGTGGAAATTCAGTCATAATTTTCCTGGAATTAATTTAAATCTTTTCCTCKCTTTTGTGGAGTTGTGGTTATTACATTATGTACAAAACATTAGACTGGGACGTATTTCAGACATGTTTACTATAAACTACTTCTGTATTTGAAGATTTTGATATGGTATGGAGTCTTTAAGTAAAATCATGGTTCCCTTGGAAGTTCATGGTCAAATATCAGTCTGTGATGCAGTGTTTATTTTCCTCTAATGATTTTGAGGCCYAAAATGATTTCTAGGCTTTCCCTATTACAGTGTGAAATTATTTTGTACAATATTTGGTGTTCTCTTAGACCTYTACTTACCTTAGTATTCATAACAGAGGCTTTTATTAAAAAAATATGCTTTTATTTAGTTTTTAATAATTTTATTTCTGTACAGTACATGAGAGCAAGGAACATACTTGAGCTGACAGGGAGAACACTTGTGATGAGCTCTGAGCTCTCTCTGTTCCCATCTCTTTGRTAGCTTACACCAGCTGAAGAGCTGCACTCTCTCAGTGATTAAAAGGGTTAATTTTTACATAGAGCAAAATGAGAYCTTTGGCCATGGGCAGATGTGCAAGACAGTGTCCCACATCCCTGTCACTTGTTCCATTTTCCTCTTTCCAGAGCCATGGCATCGTCCGGATCACGGGAGCAGTTTTTGCGGCAGATGGAGCAGATTGTAGAAGGCATCAAACAGAATCGAATGAAGGTCTGATATTCTTCTCACTTTCTTTGTTAGAACCTGGGAATTATTTCTTGGAGATGAAAGCCTCTTGGATAATAATTGTGCACAGGAAGMTCCATTGTGAGAGGTGCAAATCAAGCAAGCAACTAACAAGTGTTAAATTTCTTTTCACATTCATCAGAAATTTCTCACCACTAAATGGCAATGAATATGAGAGAGGTGTTATAACACCTCTGTACTGACAGGAATCTTACACTCCTTAACTTCATTACTGGCAGTGTAGTGATTTAAATGCTTGAGATGCTGATGTCACTCAATTCAGTGAGAACTCTTCTGTTGGACTGCATGGGTGCAGTCAGAGCTGCATCTCAGGCATGGCTTTTCACGCAGCTGGAGCTCACTGAAGCTGCTTTCTGTTGCTGAAGAGGRTCAGCAGCACCTCAGTCCCAACCATCAGGTGCCCTTGTCCCAGTTGCACCTTTAGTGCCACTGGTACTGAGACTTCAGCATTAGGCTTTTAATCTTTGAAGAGCTGACCTAAGGTTCACTGCATTTAAAACACGAGCCAGGGGTATCATTTATGAAGCATCAGTCCCATTGTGTGTTATAAATAGTTGTTCCTTGTGCAGTATGTCCGTGTGTGTGTGTATTCCATCTCTAACCCTTCCTGCATACCAACAGATGGAAAAGAAGAAGCAAGAAAACAAAATGAGAAGAGACCAGTTGAATGATGAATACTTRGAGCTTCTAGAGAAACAGAGGCTTTACTTCAAAACAGTGAAAGAATTTAAAGAGGTAAGAACACTTTTGCTGTGTAAACTGTCAAGTGTTCAGTGACCATTTTGGCTTGTGCACTAATATATGCACAAGCTTTCCTGATGTGATGTTTATCACACCAGGTTCATGATGTATCTTGGTGGTTTTCTCCATGACTCTTAGACTCTGAATTTGGTTCTGGGAATTCTTTCACTGCCAGATTGGCACCTCTCCATGTTACACGGAGGATCGCCTGTTATCAAGCAAGCTGTGTATTTGGGTTTTCAAGTGGAATCTCAAAGATCTGTAAGCAGTTATGTATTGAAACAAAGTAGATTGTGGAAATGTGAGCAAATATGGGAGGAAATGCAGGGTCTTGGTTGTTAATCTTCAGGATCCAGCCTTGTTGCTTAATGACTGTGAAAGCACTGTATTACACTTCATTGATTTAGCCTTTCCCAAGCTTTTAATCATCATGTGCTTCTGTTAATTCCTGTCTCCATGAGAATGAATGAAAAAGAGTGCTGCAGGCAAAATTGTCATTTGGCTTCAGATGTTCAAGGAAAAACATCTTTGTRTAATTATTCCTGCTTTGTTCTGAGACAGCTCCTTCCTGTTTCAGACAATGTACTCTGGGAGAATGACAGGGGCTGTTCAGCTCCTTATCWGACATACAGAATTTTACATCCTACTCGCAGAATTTAGGTGGATTTAATTTTAGGTTTTTTACCCGTTTTTCTTCCATTGCCACGTGAGGAAATTTCTACTTAACCTTGCCACTCTTAAAAATAAAAGAAGTCATGCTTGTGGTACTGAACCAAGTGTACTTATGTAAATGTATTTCCTGGCCTAGAGTTGTTCCCCAAGCACTGAATCTTTTGCAAATTGTTCTGTGAAGTTCCAGATCACCAACAAATAATCTCCAGTTCTGATTTATTCTATTTATAAGTAAAAAGCTGGAGTTGCTTTAGCTTCATGTAACGACTTCAGAGGGGTGGTCAAGCAGTGGTCCTTCTGCCTTGCATGTCATAAAGTTGAATAATTATTGCCATTGGAATAACATTATGGATGAATCAGAATTATCTTCAGCTCAGCACTTGCTCCAGGCTACTTTGGATTTTGGAGATGTTTCAAAATAAAAGAAAGGGTTTGGTTCTGTTGATGCAGAGGCACAGGTGGTGGAATTAAGAGCAATACCTCCTCACGTGTTTGCTCTCTGTTAACAGGAATGCCGTAAGAACGAAATGCTGCTGTCCAAGCTGAAAGCCAGTTCTTCCTGAAGAACTCCAGCTGGGGAAATTTATARAAGATTGTTCAGTCCATTGAATCTCTTTTGTGAGGTGACAGCTATAACTGCAATGTAGATGTATATATATAGATATATATAAAAAATATATATACACGCAGCTGTAAAAGTCTGTTTTTTCCAGTATGTGTTCAGTTTACATTCCCTCATCACATGGCTGTATTATTCATTATTGCCTCCACTACACAGTAAAGAGTTAACACAGTACAGCAAAATAGAAATTATGTCTAATTTTATTTATTTGGGTTTGGGTTTTCTTTTTCCACATTATGGACAGTGGGTAGTTCTTTTATTTGGGTTTTAACACAGAATTAGGTGAGGATTCTGGAATAAGTTTACATGTACTGTGTAGTATGTCCACCACCCCACAGAATGAGCACTGCAGAATGCAGTAGCTCATTAATTTTGGCCCAAGAAACTCCTCAGAATAAGATTCTTCAAACTCTCTTTACTGGCAAATAACTTCACATTATTTTAATTTACACTCTAGCCATAGGTAGGATTCCAAAGGATAACAATTTCTAATGGTTAAGAAAATTAACTTACCTTGGATAATTCCTGGTGTAAAATTATAGATCTATATTTTTATAAAGTCTAGCTGTTGTATAAATTTCTTTGAAATTTCATTTTTATATATAGAGAGTGTGCTTGTTAAATTAATAGCTCCAGGAAAAAAACACCTTAATACTTAGGAACATCATGTTATCCCTGGCTGGGATGAAAATCAAAGTCTGTAATATAGGAAGATAAAGATTGAAACATTCTGCTCTAATGAACTGATGCTCACCTTTGAAGACAACAACCTACTTACCCTGCTGAAGATTTGCTCTTGGAAGTTCAGAAACTTTGTGGGACACTTTCTGAAACATTTTTATATCTGTATATACAACATTTTATAATTCAAACAGTTGCTTTTTGTACTTAACRCCAGGATTTTGGACTGACTTCGTAATATACGTGACATCTTCAGGAGAAGAAAATCCATGTTCCTTTTTCCCACTGACACTGACGACAGTGCTGTTTGGTTTCTTTCTATGGCAGTGAATTAAAAATAAAGAATGTTTGGAAACCAGTGATATTTTGCTATTGTGTTTTTAAGGTGGAACTTGCCTTAAAAGCTTCCCAGGCTCTTGAATTACGAGTGCATTAAAAGACGAATCATGTCTGTAGTCAAATGGGACAYTGTTTTTGTGATGTCTTCTTCCTTCAGCACAGAAATCAAAGTTTCCCACTGAGCCAGCTGCTACCTTGGTCCCCCACACAGGTCAGTGAGGGAATAGACCCAGGCTGCTCCTCTTGGAAAAAGTCAATCTGCTCAGGTTTAGTGAAATAATGAAGGCAAAATGAGATTCCAAGTCCCTTCAAAGAAGGAAGAATTTACATTCAGCATTCCTTCAAAGAAGGAAGCCTGCATTGAGTGCTACTTGCTGAGTTTCTGTAGTCAGCTTTGGTATTAGGAGGCATTATTTATTTCTGCCTACCAACTTTGCCCTCTGTTAAAACTGTAATGCTCCTTCTAGTTTGTAAGTTGAGTAATTCAACTTTGGCACCAAGTAGACCTGCTTGGGGTTTCAAGTTGTGCTGTGTTTGTGTACTATGCAATTCTAAAAAAAATAACCTGAAGGGACAATTTGGGCTTTACCATTTTCATCACAAYTGCTTTATCATCAAGAAAAATTTCCTGAGTAGAATAAGTTATCAACTTGCATGTAGAATAATGAGTGATTATTTGTTCAGTGTAATGTTAAACTTTATGCCTACCTGCTGCAAACTCAGCAACATGGAACCTTCCACAAGGAATATAAAAGGTTRTGTCCATTGCTTGGACTAGGAGCTTGTGATTTTGACTAAGATAAAATCTGAGGTTTGTGAAGATGCAATTGTTCCTCAAGGAGAATAAATTAGAGTTTAGATAATAACTGACTGATGGCTGTAGAAGGACACTACCTTTGCTTTGAGACTCATGTGAAAAGGAGAAGAAAGGAGGCTGGTGAGAGTGTGAAAGCAGTTCCGTCAGCTGTTCATTGCTTTCTGCCACAAGCTCTGTGTGTTGGGTACCATTTCTCCTCATACCTGGGGAGGGGCCAAGAGCAAGAACCTGTCTTAATTCTCCATCTCAGATGGTTGGAAGGGGAGAACTTGAGAGACTTTCTCAGAATATTACTTCAGTATTGCTGGATTTCTTTGTTGAAAGAAAAAGATCTTGCCCTGAATTCATTTAGTGTTACCAGGCTTGTAAAGCAACATTTACAGGACTTGCAACAAAACTTAATTTATTTTATTTGCTARAGCCTGTTCAGAGCTTTAATTTGCATTTCAATAAATTTAATTACTTTGACATGCTGATGAATWAACTGCTGTAAAGTCAGTCTGCCTTTTGTTTCAGAAACAGTCTCTGAACTTCAGGCATACACTTACCTTTTAGATTGTGACAGCTTTCTGTAAAGGCAGTTCCACAAGTGCACTTGTAAAACATCTCTTAAGAGGGAAATCAGTGACATGCACTTAATCCAAGCATGACCAAATCCCGACATTCTTCTTGTTACAGTATATCACAACAGAGTCCTGCACCAGGTYACCACTGATGTGAATAAAATAAAGTCTTTGAAGGAAAGTTAAAATGTGAGCTGTAGTTTCTATAAGGGTTATTGCCTTGCTCCATTTAATGAAAAAAATCTGCTTCTTGAAGCATGACCTTAGTGTGTAGGTTGTGTCTGTACAGTCACAGCTGCAGCTGTTGAGAATTCAGCTTGTTGGTAGAGGCTGGCTGGAGTTAGGCTGGAAGATCAGCACCTCCTGGGGACAAAAGTGAATTACAGAGCAGCTTCCAGTGTGGAGGCTGTAGCAGGAATGTGTCTCCTGGAGACAGGAGCATGCAGGGTTATTCGCATTCTCTGTTCACACTCATCTTCCACGGCTGCTGCAGGATTCTCAGAGCCTTGCTGCAGGATGCAGCAATGCTCTTCTGCTGAGCAACAGGCTCCAGTACACTTTTCTAGGAGCAGATTCAGAGTCAGGAAAAAAAGTTTAAATCTAGCAGTCCACTGTGCACAAGCAGAAATGACTGGTGTACTCCAAATTGGCAGCTTCTGCTGGGGAAATAAATGACCATAATGTCTAAGTTCTGCCAAATGATGTTCCTTTAGAATACCTACTTTTTATCTGCGGGGTTTTTTTTTTTTTCCTATTTGGACAGTCAAGATACTGTGTCATTTTTCTTAGTTTATCTTAGCTCATATGGGAGCATCCAGCAGGTTAGGCAATAACCACAGAAAACATATTTTCTTTGCCCCACAGTAAGCTAAATTCCATGTGATTGAAAAACAGAATTCTAAATCCTGAATATGTACAGCCAGTCTTCTAAATGCAGTCTGCATTTAGAGCCAGTGTGGGAAGTTGATTTTGTTAAGAGCTTTCTAAAGCCACCGTAATGAAATGAAAGCTCTGCTTCTCGTCGCCTCTGGGTGCGTATGAAGCCCGGCTGTGTCACTGTAACACTGCTGTCACAGATGCTTGGGTGGGCAGAGCACTGGCTGCTTATGTTCAGAACTTCTCACAGCAAAATTACAGAGGCGCAGSCTCGCCTCCTAAGGGAGCTAAATTCATCCCTGAGGAGGAGGAGAGCTGCGTCAGCACTGTGCTGCAGCTCCCCTGTGAGCTGAAGGCACCCTGCYACAGGTCAGTGTCTGCAGCAGAGCCCTGCATGTGTGGCCTTGCAGCTCTGTGGTGTTCTCCCAATTCCAGATGCCAAGCCATGGTAAAAGGTGCCTCCACAGCCTGTGTCTCTGCAGGGAACCAGAGCTGGGTGCTGCTGCAGTCAGCTGGAATGTGCAGCTGGAGCATCACTGCTGCTCCTGCAGCCAGACTGCGATGAGCCTGGTGCACAAGGATTGGCATTAGATTTGTGTGATAGCAGTGGCTTGCCTTACCAGGCAAAGGGGGTTCAGGCATTAAAATTTGGCCAGAATGTGATTATTAGAAACTTCAGGAGTGCCACATGGAGAAGATTCGYAKGCTTTTCAATACCAGCTCAAGAAGRCCTCTTTGTTTCCTCCCTCCATGTCATCCTGCTTGGATTTTAAAGGTTTAGAGACAGCGACTCTTACAAGGAAAAATTCAATTGACTTGAAAAATTTGTCAGTGGTTCTGAATGAGGCTGCAGGTTTTAGTAACAATCAGATTCTTACATATGTGTCTTCCTTCTGGTTTAATTAATTCTCCAAACACTGGTTTGAATGATAGCTATTCCATATGCAGGCAAGTTGAGAGTCACAAGGGAAAGTTATTTAAATTGGCATTTAAGTCTGAGTCACTATCTAACAACTCTTTGAAATTCTAGGTTATTAAAACTTCTGAATTCCCACTGAAATTGAAAGGAGCAGCCTCTGCAGAAATGCAAGACACACAGGTGGCTGTGGGCACAGCAGGTCACACTGGACTGTCACAGCACTGCAGGTGTGAGGTACAACAGTGTCTGACCTCACCACACGCTGCRGTCCCAAGATGCAGCCAAGCTCCCTTAAGCCCCATGGGACTCTGTGAAAATAAAAAGCTGTCACGCAGAGATGCTGCCAGCTCTCCCTCTCATGGCAGGGGAGGAAGTAAAACCCACCAGGGAAACAAATATGGAGCGAGATGGACTTGGCAGTATGCAGGGAAATACATTATTTATTTATGTACATATTGTTGGGTCAGGGGTATTTGTCAGATCTTGGGAAAACAATTTAAATCTTGGGTTTTGGGAGCCAGGCCTGATGGCATCAACACCTTTTTTACAGCAGGAGGAAGTTGATGCAAGCTGACAAACTGTGGACTKCACTCAGGTTGGGTGATGAGCACCTTTATGATGCAGGGGCCCCAAACACGTTGCAGGCACTCACCTCCCATTGCCAAGCAGCCACATGTTGCTGCCAGCTCACCGGGTGACTGAACATCACATTTGGTGTTTGTAACACAGATGCCTGCTCAGTTTTAAGGTAGCATGAAATAACCATGCACACAGTCCCTGTCCACTTGGAGGTGTTGGTGTCTATCTTGAGCTCAGCTGGGTTTCATAGAACAGTGAGAGCCTGAGCCTGGCAGAGTGAGAGGATAATAGAGGTAAAAAAATCCTTGTTACATGCTCCTGTGCAAGCAGTGAAACACATTCTCGGAGGCTCTGAATAATTTTATACTTGCCTCCAAAATCCCAGRGGACACCCAGCCTGCCCATCAGCACTGCTGCTTTCTAGAGCACCCAGCCCCTCAATCCTGTCAGGGCGTGTTTCTGAGCTGCTTGTCATCCACTTCAATATCATATCAACTCAAGTACTGATTGACAGCAGCATGTTTATTCCCTTCCAAATAAATCTCAAAATCGAAGCCAGCATCCTGCCCMTATAACAAACATGTCAGTATTGCTCAATTTGCATCTCCCACTGATGCCTTTGCTAATGAGGAGAGCTCCAGCACGGCCTGTGGCTGGTTGGGTGGGATCAGCYGTGTTGGGTGTGACAGCCACAGCTCTGGACACATACAGTGCTTTGCTGGCAGACCTCAGCATGTGTTGGAGAGCAGACAGGAGGCATTCCCTGCTTCCATCTTCTTTGCCAAAGCCTGGAGTAGCACATATGCATTTCTAAGGGGGAACTGTAAACTCTCAGTAGGTTTATATCCAGACATCTTCTATCTTCTTTTTCATTGCTCCTAAATCCCCTCAAGTAGCTCTAGTGCATGAAAACAGTACATATCACAGGCATGTTTCCCTCAAGAAATCTCTCTATTATGCAATAGAGGAATMATTTTCTTCTCTGTGTCTCCTTTTATCTCTGCTTTACAAAAAGGTTCTTGAAGGCATTGTTGTAATTTTTGTTAAATGCTGTATAAATAAGAGGATTAAAGAAAGAATTTGAGTAGCCAAGCCAAAGAAAGATGCTTTTCCAGACGGGTGGGATRTTGCAGGAACAGAGGGGACTTATTAATTCTGTGATGAAGAAAGGGATCCAGCACAGCACAAAAACTCCAATTAAGATGCCAACCATCAGAGCTGCCTTTTTCTCTTTCTGCTCCTTCCATGTTTCTCCATCTGTCTGGAAAGTGATAGCTGCACGACGAGCTGTAAACACCATCTGTGGTTCTTGTGAAGCTTCCTTCACCTCAAACAAAAGCAAACAGAATTTCTTACCAAGACAGTTTGTTTGAGTGAAGTATTACTTTTAAATGACAGCACAACATCTGTGCACCCACCACMAAAGGCTGAACTCCATTCTCTCCATGCTAAAAGAAAGAAAAGGCCCCAGAGTGCCAGAGYTACCAGGCTTCTCATCACTGGAAAAGATGCCAAGTGTCACTGACAAACAGAGCTAAATAAAGAGGAACTGATGACATGTGTGTTGTGGGATTCTTTTCCAGTTTATTTTATTGGACGCCYTCATACCTAGGGGGAAATCAGGTTGTTAAGGCAGGCTAACAAAGGCTTGTCCCTGCTGCCTGTCCTTGCACCAGACTCATGCTGCTGCATGACCTTCAGACCTCCTCTGAGTGAACTGCTTTAGCAGGGGGCTTAAACTAGATGATCTCCAGAGGTCCTTCCAACCYCAGCCATTCTCTCATTCTGTGATTCTGCATTCCACAGCCAGAAAAACACCATTTCAACTGGCTTTCAGCTCAAAMTCTGGCTTCAGCAGAAATTATACAGGAAAGGAAAGAATTTCAGCTACTCCAGGCTGTCAGCAGTGCTTCTTGTCTCCCTTCACTAAGGGCAGGACATTCGTCTGTGCAGTGAGTACAGCACAGTGCTCTAGGGCAAACATATTTTGGGCAGAAGTTACTCATGTGCTTTGAGTCTGACCAGATGAAGACACTCCCTAGTGATTTTAATCTGAAGACTGAAGTATCTGCAGTATTAAAGTTCTTCTAGGCACTACAGTTATGAAGAGGGCACAATAAAACCAACAATTTAAGGCTCTAAAATCTGCCTGAGTGACAATTCACAGGCACTGCAYGACTTTGACACCACTCCAAAGAACGGCTCGTTGTTAAATTTGCCACATATTCCACATGCAGGTGCCACCTTTGTGCAAGCTTTGTAATAGATGGAGGGCCTCTGCTTGATATGAGCACAGCAATTCAGACAGGGAAGCACTGGCAGTGGCTGAACAATCACTCTTCAGGATGGATATCCCTGTCTGCACCCTCAGACGTGGGACAGAGCTGCAGAATGTGAGAGCAGCAGATTATGGGCGCAGGCAAATAATGGAGGAAAATGAAAATCACATCTGTTCTGACAATTAAAATGGGACACCCCTCATGTAGCAAGGATCACACCATTTGTCTGCAGAAGGACTCGCTCTGCATGTCCTTAATCACACTCTGTGAAAAGGGATGAATGCATGACACGAGGACAAATTTTGACATGCAACCCTGAAAGATTATGTCTCAGCCCTGAGGAATACTTACATAAGTGCCTCTTGGGAAGAGCCGTACAAAGGACATCGTCACAAGCATCAGGCACAGTTTGGTACTGTATTTAACCTTCAACTCTTGCAGTGTGCCACCATCAAATCAGAGCCTTTCAGTACTTGTGACTCTGCAGAATTTACTAGCAGYGACCCTTTTATCACTTAATTACATATCATAAGGAAAAATTATTTAATTTCTTTTGCTAGAAGATACCATAGTTCTCAGGTGTTTTCTCAAATGAAACCTGCATAAAGCTCCTGCTGAAGTCAAAGTTTTTACAAACTTTAGTGGTTGTTGGGTCAGGTATTCTGCATACTAAACAGCAAGTGAAAACAGATCATGGCACATTTTGTAAATTACTGGAAAGCAATTGTCCTCTGGCTTATGTAATTTCTACTTTCTCTGTTGTCACAGCTGTTTTTTCATTTATTTTCTGACTAGTTCTGCTGGGATTTCTAAATCATGTTGCAATGACAGAAAAAATAATGGCAACAGTGAAAACAGCAATCTGGTCGTTTAAGAAATATAATGGGATCTCTTATGGAACCTTCCATTAAGTAAATGTGTAAATATCTGTGGCAGACTGGAGATATTTTCCCTCAATCCTCCATATAAAATCCTTTGAAAAGGATATACAAAATGTTCTTGAAAAGGTAACAAGTATCTCTGCCCAGCCAGGTCTTTCAGCCTGCGCCTTCAACAGACAGGGATTTAAACCCTGGGAGTTTTGTGGAAACTCAGCTTTCCATGCCGTCAGTGGACAGTGTTCAGCTGAAGGGATTCCCCCCCTTATGCGGGTATGGGGTAATCCACCATCATTTGGCATTGTCTGAACRTGAGCACAGGCCAAAAAGATTAGGCAGCTGCTTTCCAGCCTTGCCAGTTGTGATTTGCCAGCACTAAATGCAGCTCTAACTGGAGTTCCCAGTTCCCAGTGCCAATCCCAGGGGCTTTGCATGACTCCAGTTTCTAATGTAAGTCACAACAGATGACTTTTATCCRTGTACCACAGGGAACAAAGGACCAGCCCAGAATAGAACTTTACCCCCATTTTAGTGTTACTGATGAGCACCAGTGAGCAGGCTGTGACAGCAGAAAAGGTGGTCACTGACTGTAAATTAAAGCAGTCCATGGAGATGCCTCAGGTTATCCTGGAGACATCTCTGCAGTGCTGCACACTGTTCTCAGTGTCTAGCAGCACACTCTGCCTTGGGCACAGATTTCCTCCCACCTGCCCAGGCACTGCTCCAGGCAGTGTCAGAGTCAGGAGCACTGGAAAAATAGCTGGTATGAAAGCACTGCTACTCTGAGGCCAGAATTAGGTTCTGAATTCATGAAATCAGCTATTTTCAGAACAACAGGCTCTGAGAAGTACAGTGATGACTGCTCTTCTGTGAGAATAATAAAGAGAGTACAGGAAGGAAGCTCTTAAGTACAAACCCTTCTACAGATACAAAGGAGTTTGCTGTTAGTTCCAGAATTTATTCTCCTGTACACGGATCAGGACTTACAGTTCAATGCCCCTCCTCTAGTTTGTCTGTCCCCAGTGAATTACTACTCCTAAATGACTACATGTTCTCAGAGCTGTATATTCCAAATTCCTGTATTTTTAGCAGTGTCATCGAAAACATGCCACCAAGGAGCTTCTGACCAAATCCCTTGATTTAAAATGTTCCTTATTGCTTTAACAATTGTTATTACCAGTCCCTTCGTGGCAGGTACTCTGTGTGTGTTTGTCCTGCACCTCCAGGGTCTGCAATAACAAAGTAACAGCAGAGATGACAAACATCAATCAAATCTGGCTCGCTACCAGCAATTCAGAGCTTTGCCTATCACCGTGTGATTCAGCAAAGGTCAYAACTGCCTCAGTGCAGCTTTGGCAYMCTKCTTGCTCTTKGAGCAAGAACACGAGAAACTAATGCACAACAAAGGATCAAAACACAGGAATGTCTRCACTTTCTTGGATGCTTCACCAAAATGACAAACAGTTCATTTGACAGGGAGAAGAACACCCACTTTCTCTTACAGGATTTTCTTCTGCTGTAAGCAGGAATAATGCTGTATTTCTCCCAGCAAGTCGCTACCCACTCCACTTTGCTTCCTGCCTCACACTTTTCCAGACATTTTTTACCACTCTTCTGGACAGCTGAATTGTGTTTCCTGACCCATCTCTTCTACTTGTATAGTCAGAGRCAGAAATAAGAAATAAAAGCCCTGTGATCCCTTCAGGGAAGTAGAATCTGTTTCCTCTCCCACATTGTTGTGACTGGTTAAGTGAGTTAAAGGCCAGATGGGCCAAGGTGCAGAACAGCACAGCACCACTGGAGCTCTGGGGCCTGATAATATCAAAAGTGAGAAGGACTCTCACAAAACTCTGAGGTTTGGACCATGCCTAATGTTATATACTATATAAGTACTTGGAGAGGGGAGAAAGAAATAAAATAAAACAAAACCAACTGGAAAAAAA